GGTTTTATTTCTCAAAGATTACAGTTTCGCAGTGCTTGGTGTAAACCCGCACTGAATTGCACTGCTAAAACAATGGGTTACAAATTATTAAAGAAATACATAAATTATTAATAAAATAATTAATAACATAAATTATTAATAAGATAACCTCTGAGTAGACATTGTCAGAGGTTAAATACATAGGTTAAATACATATCGTGCATACAGATTTCAATAAGCCTATTATTAATACATTATTATTGATGACTTGTCATAAATGTGTATATTCAAACATATTAGTTCGGCATTGCATAGTGCTGGTTGAACTATTTTGGGGGACTAGAAATTTAATATTAGCAATCATTGAAACATTCGAGTCAGGGCCGTTGTAAAAAACATTATGAGAAAATAATCTCCAATTATTGATGAATTCTCGTATCATGCAATGGTTGAGGCCATACGTCAAAATCTAATACGTTCAAGGTGATAATTCAGGTCAGGTAAAGATCTTTACATAAGAATTAAAATCTAATGAATTTCTTCTCCCAAACTTAACATATATGCATTACAACATATTTGAATCGAAACTGCAAATACTGGTTGCATTATTGTTGAAGAGTGTTACAAGATAGGGTATGGGACTATTCCTGTAACGATTAGTTCGTGTTTTAATAGTGTCCAATAGGCTGCTGTTTCTTGTTCTTCTACCACTGACGTCTCCCCGGAAGGGGGGTAGCCAATTCCGGTAGGACTCAGACTGTAGTAGTCTTCTTGCGAATGTCTGACAAAGGTGTTCACGTCTTTGCTGTAGTGTCATGAGGCATAGCGTGTTGCAAGCGTCAGTATAGGTTGTGTAGTCAGGCCCAAGGATGATTCGAAAAGCCCTTCGCTGTATTCTTTCCAGTTGACGTCTTTGGGACTGTGTAATGGCTGGTTGCCAAACTGGGACAGCGTACTCACAAGTGGGTCGGACAAAACTTGTATATATGGTGACAAGATCTTCTCTAGTATTACTCCGAAAGATTTGAGTCTTCTCAAGAAGAAAAGCCTCTGGCTTCCTTTCTTGGCCATGTGGTCCACCTGGGTGTTTCATTTTAGGTCAGCTTGTATATGGAGCCCCAGGAGTTTAGCTACTTGAACTTGTACTAGGGGGTAGTTGTCAATTTTTAGTGAGGGTAGTGGTGGCACAGTTTTTGAGAAGTGCAGAAACATCACCTTGCATTTGCGAGGGTGGGTAGGTAGGTAGGTAGTTCGGTAGGTAGGTAGGTAGGTAGTTCGGTAGGTAGGTAGGTAGTTCGGTAGGTAGGTGGGCAAGGCGTGGGGAGGGCGCTGTTGAGGCGGCACAACACAGTTTTAGCCCTTTGGGGATTTCTATAGTTAAGGACCCCAAAGTGACTCACTTCGACTCACTGAAAATCATAGTAGGGTGCACAAGCAAGGTTCAGATTTTTGATATGTTTAATTTCAGGGTATAGTGTACAACATATGCGAAAATGAGCTCAAATTTGCCGGCTAGTTTTCTTCTCATGCCCTCTTTTATTAGCGCCATTGCGGAGGTCATGGAACTGCAGCCGACGCACAGTACTAGGCGGGACAAGTATCCAAGCGCAAATCTACGCCGACTGAACACGCACCATAAGTCAACTTCTACAGTCTCAAAACTGACATATTCCTCTAACATTTACCACAGGTTCTATCTCGATACCATGCTCAGAACAATCTCTGCACCCTTCTCTAGTATTGTGCAGCACTACTTTGTGCCCGGACTACTTTTGACTACGGGGTTCGCCCATCGCCCATAAATACTGTGTTGTGCGGCCTTGACGCCTGCATGACCCTCAAAAGGTTAAAGGTCATGGGGCATAGAGAAGTCATAAAGAAGTGAAATTTTGTTTTGGGTGTAACTATTGTTCTTTTGTTAGTATATTGATGACGAAATTGTTTACAAGGTAAGTGGGGATTAGAAAAGGATGAGAAGGAACCCTGTAAAAGGTAAAGCACACACAAAAAACATATTGTAAGTTACACTACAATGACTATGTACAACGCAAACCTGTCTATATTAGCAACCGCTAATATTACTATCTAGTTTCTCTGAGCGACGCGAGTAATATGCGGCCGCGAGGGACCATTTGCTGCCGAGGTAGTTTTTGCGCGCGAAACCTTCTCTCCGTGGCAAAAACTCCCTCGGCAGCAAATCGTCCCTCGCGGCCGCATATTACTCGCGTCGCTCAGAGAAAAAAATAACGCCGACGCCCAACAAGACTGCGAAGGAGGCTACGCTGGCCCCAACTTCAAACGGCCGGCAGCGCTCTAAACTACGATGGACTAACGAACTAAGTGTGTCATCATTTTGGGCCGTGCCCCAACATTCGTAGACTTTTTTCGAACCCCAATCATGTTCGCATGTCACAATGGTGTGACGAACCGAACCGAACGCGTGTTCCATTTTGTATGCAGCAGTACATCAGTTTTTTTTTTTCATTTCTTATTTCAGAAACGTTTTTGATTTAACGGCTACACCATTATTACCCTATATTATAGGAGAAATAAAAACAGCCAGACTGATATACTGTCGATAATTACCGGGGTGCACGTGGGGTGGTTATAAAACAAAACAAACACTACAACAAAGATTTTATTATTTTTCTGATACTTAATTAGATGCCAAGAATATCATGTAATATATTATTATATACATCAATGTGCAAAAATACCTACAAAAGTATTTGGGTGCACTGGTGCACCCACAGGAAAAAACTGGGTGCGCATCCAGTATTTCGAGCCCTGCATATACATCTAACGTTACATATACATGGAGCAAGACTTCAACTTCAACACCCTAAAATTTAGATTGATGTCTGTATACATGTCCTTGAATCTATTAGAACATAGAAAACGCTATAACACAACATAAGGCACCCTACTGATCACCTTAGAATTTTTCTCGGAGTTAAAGTTTGAAAAATTTGATAACATTTGGATTTTTCCATCCACGTGCACCTTTCTTTCCATTAAACTATTTTCATGAAAGTATGCTTTCATGCAAAAGTCAGGAAGACACCGATAAGTGCAGTCATTGATGAAAAGATGACGGCCATGTTTGGTGTTGTCGGCCCTGCTGCGCTGGTTCGGCCATCCACGATTGCGAAAATTCGAGAGGGAGCTCCGCTTCCGTCACCGATCTTGATGGGCATGGCGTACACGGTGGATCCGGTAGGGGGCATCTCGTCCAGGTGGGCAACGTTCTCTAGGATGAGGACGTTGTTGGGCAGGAGGATCAGGTGAGTTTCATACGTCTAGATGGGGTGACAGGGAGAGGTTGTTAATGTGAGGAAGACGAAGGAAAGGACAGAGCTCGGGATTCCAAAATAAGGCAGCATTTGCGAATCAAACGCATCACTACCGTTCTGTAAAAACACATTCATATGCATGGTAAGCAGCCCCTCCAACTCTGCCAGCTACATAATGACAAATGTACCCAACACCACAGCGTGTCTGCTACAGCACCAGTCACCTATGCTATGGGTTACAGCCATCTGGCCCAGGTCATTGATCATATGCAAAGCAAATGCATAATGTTCACCTTCGCACATGGTCTGCTCTGTTAATTCTTAAGTCAAACAAATTCATATGGTCAGACAGGAGTCTAAATCCCTCCTTCTATTAAATTGCAACATTATGTAATCCAACACCCGGAAGTGTTGAGGCTGTTCGGTCTGTCTCATCAGAGGTCACTGTTTGGAGAAGAAGACGAGGAAACGTAGCAAAAACAATGTGTTTTCGGTAAACCTGAAAAGAGGATAAGTTTAACAGGAAAATGAACATTTACCGTCGAATCTCCAGGATCCGCCGAGAGGGTGTCAATCCCGACCGCCTTCACGTCACGGTTGTCCACGATCCACTGGGCGGCGGCGGGGTGCAGTCCCGGCGAGTGCAACGAGGAGGAGTTCCTTGTGTGGTCCGTACCGAGATACGCCGCCGGTCCTTCCTCCCAGAACTGCTCGCCCCAACCTGTGCGGACTGGACATTACACGGGGTTAGCCTCCTTTTCAGGCGTTCCCGGATCGACCGTTTTTTTTGGGGGGGGTGCACTTGAATATGAAAATCATGAAAACTGTTCGGGTTCGTGCACTAAGCTATTATCAACGTAGCGACTACCACGATATCGATGGTCGGATGCGGCCCCAAAATTCCTTGACTTTTTTTCGAACCCGAATCAGGTTCGATGGTGTTCGATGAGACGTCATTCGAACCGAACGCGTGTTCCATTTTGTGAGCAGATCTGATTGTGAGTTGTTCAATGATTCAATAAACCACCTCCAATGGAGAAATTAAACCCTCCAGTAATATTCGTAGAAAATTTTGTTAAATGTATACACTAGACAATTACGTGTTCCGCTCCGCCCAGTAGTGGAGTACACTATGAAGCAATGATATTTCAAACCGCTAGGTGACGCTTTTGCATTTGATGCACCGGACTGCGATCAAGTAGACGCGTGCGTGCGTGCTTTCAAAAATTATGGCGGAAACCTCCTGAAATCTGAGCAAATTTTGACGCGGTAACCCTTGATTCTAGTGTTTGAAAACAACTGGAGGTTTCCTGACTCGCCTCGCCAGCATCACGTTGACATATTTTACAGCCTGGTTTGATGTACGGTAAATTTCCATGGCGCATTCCAACTCAACACAAGAAATCCACGACCAGAGCGTAGTTTTTCGTCGTTCCCACATAGACGTGGGCTACGTGTGCGGGTTTCTTGGAGCTGTGGGTGACTTACAGAAGGAAGGAGAACTGCAGGATATCGTCCTTGAAGTCGAGGGCCGGCGGTTTCCCTGCCATCGGCTTGTTCTGTCCGCGGCCAGCCCCTACTTCAGAGCCATGTTTACAAACGACATGGCGGAAAGTCGGCAGAAGACGGTCGTTTTACAGGTACGGTTGCGGTTGGCGCGACGATATTATAAATGTTTAAGATGTTATTAATAAAAGGAGAAAGGCTACGGTCATCATACACTAGATAAAATGTAACCAGGAAGTCGGTTTTTTTTTGCCCCTCTCCTTGCCCCCCTCCCCACTAACTCATATCACGTCGAGAATTTTTGGCGACGCCAAAGGGGCGAGCCTAGTAGTAGTAAAGCATATAGCCAGTTTGGAAAAATTCCAGCGATTCATCAGTTTATATCTGAACATATTGTGATATTGTAACCTTCCCTGCCATGTGACTGTTCAGTGTTACGTTATATATCGTTCTGCTAGGGTTTTGATGCAGACGTATTTGAAGAGATCCTGAGTTACATCTACTCGGGAACCCTCCATGTGTCCCTGGACAGAGTGCAGCCCCTGTACCAGGCAGCTGACCTCCTCCAACTGGACTTTGTGAGAGAAAAATGCAGCAGCTACATGGCCATGAGCGTGGAGCGCTCCACCTGTGTGGACATGTACAAGTTTGCTGATGTCTTCTCCTTGGATGTTGTCCGGAAAGATTGTTTGCAGTGTATCCATAGAAACTTTGTTGAGGTGGGTCTAATACGTAATAAGAACCCAAAACATTTATCGAGAAGCGTAGGGTGACCTCGTGTGCTTGGCTAAATATGCGAGAAGCCATATTGCACTAATACGTATTGAAAAAAGCATCATGATGCACATCACTTGTGGATGTCAAAATAAAGGTTGTTTTTCCACATTTCCCAAACATGTACATATTCTCTACATACTTCCACAGGTTGCCTGCAGTGAGGAGTTCTGCAGCCTGAGTGTGGATCAGCTGACTGAGATCATCAGCCATGATGAGCTGGAGGTTAAAGAGGAGACAGGAGTGTGGGAGGCTGTGGTGAGATGGGTGCAGCACAGCAGGGAGGACAGGTGGGCAACAACATTCAACTAATGTGTAGACATGGAGACTGGGTTTTGCTTGATTGACGGAGTTTTGACCCGGTATGCCTTGGCTTCAATAATGTGGTCGGCAGGAATGTATGAAACATAAACCATAGCGTTTGTATATTTTTGGAGTAAGTTTCATCATGCAATTGTACGAGTTATAATGCATTCGTTGACATAATTCTGAATTTCATTATTGCAAACTTTATCTACTTCCCAAAAGTTTGAAATCCATGACTTCATTGTGATACCATCAAACCGGCTGATTCTGCCCCTACAGACTGCAGCACCTACCCAGCATCCTCCCTCACATCCGCTTCAACCTGCTGACCTCAGATGACACGGCAGCCATCCTAGAACATCCCCTGGTCAGGGAGGATCCCGGGAGTACTGAGGTCGTCAAGAATGTGGTGAAGGAGGCTTCCAACCAGAAGCCAAGGCTTGGGATGACCATGGAAATGTTCTGCTTTCAATGTACTTGAGAAAGAGTATGTAAAAAATTACATGTATGTACGATTGTAGTATGCATGCAGTAGTTTTTCTACCTTTGTGTGTAAAACTATATGATAAACTTACATAGTGCAAGGGCATTGTGTGTGCTTGCTTGATGTGAGACATTCTGAGAGGACTTTGCTGGACATCAATTCATGATGTTATTTTTTCTGTTTAGGAAGAAAGAAGTCCACTACCTGAACCCTCATCAAGGGAAGGACATCAGCTGCAGTTATGAAAACCTCCCTAAAAATCACAGATGTTGCAGTCACCAGTGATAATGATATTTACTTTCCGACCTATGAGTCAATGGATGATGACCAAGCGTCCCTGTCTAAGTACAACCATGCAGACAATGTATGGGAACATGCTGGTATGTCTTCTGTATCTGAAATGCCATATCATTACAGAAAATTCTTAGTCGCAGTGAATCATGTTTTATTCTACATTGGCACTGATGTAAGAAGAGGTAGTGCAGCGGTGCAGATGAGAAAGTACAACCAGCACACCGACCAATGGCAGGAGTGTTCACTTCTGGAATATGACAAAGAAATAGAGATAGATGAAGACGGTACTGAAGAAGATATTGATGGTACTGTGTTGTCTTGTGGTCCATACATCTATTTCATCACAAACGACAATATGCATCGCTATGACCCAAGCCAGGACCGTTGGGAGGAACGGACCCCACCGGAACTCATCCCTGATATCTGCACTGCTGTTACCATGAGAATGGA